ATAGGACACAAAATCCCACCAGCGCACGCCGCTGTTCCCAAGGTGAAGGAAAAGGAAGTTTATTTCCTGGCTCCAACATTTCTAGTTTTCCAAGAGTGACAACGGGTTGGAGGGTGACAGTGCCACCTCTCCAACGACACCGGACAAACCAACAGCCCGTCAGCTTTCTCCTCTTCCGTAAAAGAATGCAAAAATGCAAAACCATGAGTTATTTCCAGAAAACGTGTGAGAAAGTTTGCTACAAGAACGCCAACATCAGAAGGCTTAGAAAAATCTTAAAAATCCAGGGTGACACTGGGGACCTGTCCCACCCCTCTGGGGACCTGTCCCACCCCCTTGGGGACCTGTCCCACCCCTTTGGGGACCTGTCCCCCCTTTTCTCACCCCCTGTCCCCCCCCTCAGGACTGCCAGGAGCTGACGGACGTGGAGCGCGCCATCGAGACCGTGATCAGCCAGTTCCACTGCTACGCCGTGAAGGGCCAGAAGGAGTACCTGACCCCCAACGAGATGCAGGAGCTGCTGGTGCAGAAGCTGCCGCACCTGGGCAAGGTCAGGGGAGTGACCAGCAGGAGATGGCAGGGGTCCTGGGTGGGGTGGGACCCCCCAATGGGGTCCTGGGTGAAGTGGGACCCCTCCCAAAGGGGTTCTGGGTGAGGTGGGATCCCCCCAGGATGTCCCAATGGGGTTCTGGAACCCCCCAGGATGTCCCCTCGAGGTCCTGGATGGAGGTGGGAGCCCCTGATGGGGTCCTGGATGAGATGGGACCCCCATAATGGGGCGCTGGATGGGGGTCGGATCCCCCCAATGGGGTCTTGGGTGAGGTGCGACCCTCTCAGGATGTCCTGATGGGGTCCTGGATGAGGTGGGACCCTCCCCAGGATGTCCTAATAAGGTCCTGGACACCCCCAGGATGTCCTGATGGGGTCCTGGATCCCGATGTTGTCTCTGTGGGACCCCCCCCATCACCCCAATATTGTCTCGGTGGGACCCCCCCCATCACCCCAATATTGTCTCGGTGGGACCCCCCCATCCCCATCACCCCGACGTTGTCTCCGCAGTGCGTGGGACCCCTGGAGGAGAAGATCGAGTGCATGGGAGACCCCAACGAGGCCAAGCTGGAGTTCGGGGAGTACTGGGACATGATGGGCGACGCGGCCAAGGGCTGTCGGAGGAAGTAGAGGGCGATGGCGGGGACGGGGAGGCCCCCGAGGTGCCGCTCCTGGAGCTCCTGAGGCCGCC